GAGAACTTTCTACCCTGTTCTCCAAGACTCGATCAGGCACTGCGCTGATTGGATAGGAAATCAGCTAATCAGCGCGCAGCAACGTAGTCATGCTTTAATCCCATCTATGTCCCACTAACAGTTGAGCATGTGGTTAGCGATCCTATCCCATAGAAAACCATCTTGCTAAGAATACGCTAACCAGAATAAATAATTCAAATCATAGTTACACCATCTATTTTGAATATGTAATTGATACATTGAAGAAGATAAGATGTGATTGATCAATGAACGAAGATTTCACAGTTTGATGTCACTTGATTTGTACCTTTTTATTAATATAAACTCATCACTTTGATGCAATCCAATCCCGATTATTCATTCAGCTTATGGACTGTCCAACCACTTAACTTTTTATATCATGTTCTATTTTCTTATTGTTGTACACAACAGTAATAAGACGTTTAGTTTATAATGAAATATTCCTTTTGTGTTTGTATGTTTGGTGTGTTGCTGTCCTCTCTCTCTCTCTCTATGCCCAGTGTAATCGATCTTTGCAAAATTATCAGGGTTCAATGTTCAACGCGCGCACACACCCACACACACAGAACAATTCCCATAAATCAAACAAAACAATTTGCATATTTTTTTTTGCTTCTACGTTCAGCTTGTATTCTGTCTGTAACGATTACTACTGTTATTATTATTGTTATTATTATTATTATTATTATTATTATTGTGAATACTATTAGTTTACTAAAGAGAGAATCCTGTCATACAAAAACAAGTAGTTTTTTTTTCTCTATGAAAGCATCCAAGAGTAGTAATAAATTGTTTGTCTTTTCTCGTACAAGCGTTGTAATCAGTGTTGTTAGCATGACAGTTTTAGAGTGTATTTCTCCCATCACATTGAAACATTGATCGGACATTAGGACTCTGGACAAAGAAGACATCATGGTTTTACTAGTTACTACTTAATAATGAATGAATGAATGTCGTTTACTTGTGTTTGAATGATTTATAGTGCATGTTGGTTGAATCATTTCATTGGTGAGGCATTTCATTTTTTAGTCAAAAAAAAGTTACAGGTTTGAAACACATATATTTCACTTGGTTAGATTGAAACAATTGAGTTATGCTACTAGATCTTATATTTTTAAGGTGTGATTCAACGGTAAATGAAGGGAAACTACATCAGATAAACAAGTTGATACAGTTTCTTAATTATTGAAAATTGAATATGCGCTAATTTGGAGCACTGATTATTATTATTATTATCTTAGTGAAATTTCAAATAGATTTACGATATTTCTTCAATTGTATGTTTTATAGAGTTGGTTGTTATATCAGAACGGGAATGATAAGGATAGTAATTGTCAGAACTAATTTATAGATTATTAGCATACCTGAGTAAGAAATCATATTTGAAATATATGCTTCGTATGTATGGTTCAGATTGGTTATGGATCGCTTGTCTCAAAGATTCAGGCAACATAAGAGTTTTAGAAACGATTGGCACGATTAGCTACTGACTACTTAATAAAGGCTATTAGCTCCACATTGTATTCTGTGTGATGGTTCTGACATGTGATATTGTAGTGAAGGAGAACACAGGTGGGGCAACCGGATTGTCTTTAACGAAAATTACAGAGTTACTCAGTAAAATAGGAAAACCATATCGTAAATCGTTAATTTGCAAAATATCAGTTCATCATATCGAAATGGACTGTTCCTGTTGCAAAACATCAATCGATTGTCACTATTCATGTGTTTCATACAAATTCCATTGTGTTCCCACTCTTCCTTTCTTGATCTTCCCCCAACTTCGGCTGCCAGACATTACGTTGACACTCACGTCATATACTACTTATAAGTAGCTCACACCACAATATTAGTCCATAATAATATTCCATTTAAATATGTTCATTGTAATAAATTATCAACCGTCTAAAATAGTTGATCAAGTTTCAAATTGCTTTATGTTCATTCTGACAAGTAACTGACAATTTCAATGTGATAATATTATTCTTTGTTATAAGATTTGGAGTGTATGTAAAGATCTGTTGAGCTTACAAGGCTAATCTCAACCTTTAGAAAAAAAATTAATTAACCCATTCCTCTCGAGTTATTCTTATGTCTTTTAACGATGTTTATTGTTGGCTCATATAATTTTGGTTTTGTTTGGGTGCATATGTACATTGCTTACTTCGCACTTACCGATTGTCGGGTTTATTTCTGTCTGACTATAAATACTTAGTCCATGCCTCATCTCACTGAGTTGGTTCACTCACCTCTATTTCATTTAAATTTACTTTTGGGCTTTGTATTATCATGTCTGTCTGCAAGAACGATTGTACGTAATAAACTCATCCATAAAACCGTACTTGGCACACAGGCGGGGTTTGCCCAACTATGATAAACAGAAACTGGAGGGGAGATTTACTTCATGGCATATTTGATTGTTCGTCCAAATAGGAGTCAGATCGGAGGTCGCTAAAGTGATGAACCCTCCTTCGAAATTAACGCAGACCACTAAAGATTATATCACAAGACTAAAAATCCAGAAGCATTGGGAACCTAATTCATCCTAATGTATAACTGCTCAACAATGCACATTCATACAGTATCGTTAGTCTAGGTTTGAAGATTAGGCATTTTATCATAGGACTTGAAGGTCTTTGATCCAATGTCTAGTTGAGGTGCACATATGCATGTAATGAGAAGTATCATACTTTGATGAGACAACTATCCAGTGAAATCTGGTTTAAAATAACTCTTTAGAAGCATTCACGTCACTACTGTTTTTCACGTGACAAATTTTATCAGTCCATACTACAAGCAGTTCATGTCTTGCCAGAAGGTACCTTGTGTCCACTAGCAGCGTATGAAAATTAACGTGTTTGGAAAGAACCAGAAAAGAGAAAAACAAGAGATAAGTCGAGCAAACTCACAAAATGCACACTCACATTTACTAAGAATAGCAATCAGTAACAATTAGTAGTGATCGCACAAGCATCAGATTCTCTGAGTCTGAAAATTTTAAACTGTTACACACACAGTACTTCAATGAGTCATTGAATTCTTCTTCGAAATCTAATATATATATATATATATATATATATATATATATATATATATATATATATATATATATATATATATATATATGCCATACGCCTATGCTTGTCTAAGTCTTAGGTTCCTCAAGGTCATTTTTCAGTTCATTTTCTTCGCCTACTAAAATTGTTATGAATTAAAATTCATTTGTTAGAAAAAATCAACGCTTCATCAATTAGTTTCATTCAAATGTGTGTATGTGTGTATAGGCATGTGTTCACTTAACCTGTATTGTTGTTGAGTATCAATAATAGAGAATTTATTTTTCTATCTATTTTAAATTATTGTTTGATTTGAAAGATGTATGTATATTTATCGATGTATCAGAGTTTATTCCTGTTTTTTTTTTCTAAATTTCAAGAACAAAGTAATAACTCATACAGTGATTCATTGATTAACACTTTTAATAACTTTGTTCACTATTGTAATCTATGAAATAATCTGTTACAAATAAATAAGGTCATAATCATTAGTAATTTAACAGTCATTGTTACATAAGAAGCAATGAAATGTATCATTGTTGTAAGGTATTCAAGGTTATGTAAAAAAGAAATCTTGGATTTCATGGTATGCTGATTGTGACTACTCTCTTGTAGAATAGAAATATCTTTAAAAAACAGATCAGTTATGAGTAACGGATTATGATAATGGATTAATGCAAATCGCCTTTTTCCCATGGGGGAGTATCAATTCCTTCATGATTGTAGATTAGTAACTTTAATGCCTGTTACTCCTTGTACAGCATAGGCCGTCGATCAGGATTTCCTAATAAAACTTTTTTCTGAGATTTCCTTTCCCAGTTGTTATATTCACTCTTTTGATATCTGCTTCCAATTCTCGGTGAATTGTGTTCTGTTCATTGGTCTCGGTAAAAACAACCTTACTAAGGAAAACACTAACCAGATAAAATCTTTTAACTATGAATGCAGATATATCATGCTAAATAGGTAGCAAACTACACAAAACCCCAAACTAAAATTCATGATTATTTATTTGAACGAGGACAACTCCGTCATATTGTAGTGAATGAGAACACAGGTGGGGGCAACCGAATTGTATTTAACGAAATTACAGAGTTACTCAGTAAAATTGGAAAACCATATCGTAAATTGTTCATTTGCAAAAGATCAGTTGATCCTATGGAACTGGACTGTTCCTGTTGCCAAACATCAATCCATTGTCACTCTTCATGCGTTTCATACAAATTCCATTGTATTCCCACTCTTCCTTTCTTGATCTTCCCCCCATCTTCTGCTATTGTTTACACTGAATCGATGTGTGTGAAGTCAATCGAGTTGAAGAGGTGTGATATTGTTAGTGGATAAGATATATTACTAATTATATAACAGTAGTTAAATATTATTCATATATTAAAAACAAGTTTCTCACAAAACTTATATTTCTGGTTGTTTTGATTAGTCTACATTGGCAACATAGGCTCTTTGACAAAATGCTTCTGTATTATCTAGAGTTGAAGGTTCTTTTGTATTGTTTTGGAGTTACAACGTATATTCTTCATCGAAGGGTTGTGAAGATTGTTGAGTTTCTTTGAAATCATGAATTGATCCATGTTAGACCACCATTAGAAACCTGGAAGCACTGGACAGCCATTCAGTCCTAGTATGGGACTTATCAGTAGTGTGCATCCACGACTCCCACTAGTCGCAGCAATCGAACCCCGGGACTTTCGGTCTTACTCGAGGGAGCCTAACCACTAAACCACTGAACCGACATCAGTGGTTTTGGGGCTTAACACTGATCGACTGATGATTACAAAGTAACTTAACAATCTTCAGAATCCTCTGATGAAAAATTGCATTTGATAAAATGATAATAATCAAGAAACATCCTTTTATTTATTATAATTAACATCATATACTTCTATTATTAATCATTAAATTTAGGCCAAAATCAAATGAACCAAATCAAACAATTGAACAAACCATTGAAACTACATCTAATTTAAAACAAACCGCCGTTGAAATCACTGTAGTAAAACAACAAGAATTTCCAGATCAAACAATCAATTCCATTCATCAAGATATAAATATTGATATAATCAATCCAACAGTGGAAATCGATTCGAAAATTCATTCAATACATACTGAAAAATTAACTGTGAATCGTAAACGTAAATATACAGGTGAAAGTATTGTGACAGTTGAAGAAAATATTATTTTACCAACGAAAAACGATCCGATATTTCAAAATAATTTAAAATCCAATGAACAAAATCAATCAATTAATCATGAAGTAATTATTAGTGATAGCAATGAAAACAATTCTGTGCAATCATTTAAACAAATAATTGATTTGGATGAAGTGACGAATGAATTGAATTTATCATCTACAAATCACGCGGTACAAAGTTTTTCAGAGAAGAAATCAAATAAAAAGAAATCTAAACAGAAACAAAAACATTCATCATCATCATCATCCTCCTCCTCTTCCTCGGAGAAATCCTCGAAACCGACTGATGAAATCAACACTGTGGATCTTGATCTGAATCCTATGATAAGCCATTCAATAGATAATGAATTATCTTGCAGTAATATCATTACACCTGTATCATCTGATTGTGAAATAAAACTAACCGAAGTACCATATACTACTATTACTACAACTACTACAACTACTACTAATACTACTACAGATTTCATTGTGAATGAATCTTATTCATCAGCAGTACAATTGAATGTAAATGCCAATGATATCGATCAATCAATAATAAAACATGAACATTTCGAAAAACAACAAACATCATCTCATTATCATATGGAAATTATAGAACAACATGAAGAAAATATTCAACTGTCAACTTCTTGTCCACTTGTCACTATTCCAACAGAAAAGATTGAACATAATGAAAATGATCAACCAAATAACTACACATTATCCTCTGTTATTGATATTCCTATTGAGAAAACAACTGAAGTATTTGCATATGATTCGATTAGTATACATCAACATCAAGCAGATGATGAAGCTTATAAACCAAATTTATTATCTACTGAAATCCCAATTGAATCAAATTCATTTGAGGAATGTTTATTATCAAAACAAACCAATCAACAAGATCTAGAAATAAATGATCAAATTGTACAGGATAATCATGAAATAATTTCTAAACAAACAACCACAGAACAAAAACCACATAAAAAGCCTTCAAATAAAAACAAACAGAAAATGTGTTATATTCCAGTGGACGAAACTATCGATCAACAAACATTGAACACTGATCATAAAAGTTCACCTTCTGTAGATTTTATTCAATCCAATATATTGTCGAATGAGAGCTTATTTTCTACTGAAAATCAGTCATTATCAGAATCGTTAATTATTCCACAGAATATCCAGTCAACTTCATATAAACCACAAGTAATGAATGGTACAGTTGAGAAGAATATTGATTTTAATCAACCATTATCATCTACAGAATTAGTCCAAGATGATAATGATGGCGATGACGATAAACAATGGAAAAAAGCTTCGAAAAAGTCTAAAAAGAAGCGTGAAAAGAAAAATCGAGAAATCGATAAAACCATAGTTGAACATGACACAGGTAGTGTAGTCACTGACCAAATGCTACTAACAGAAAGTATTACAACGTACTTAGAACATGATATTGTACAAAAGGCAAGTGCTTCTGACCACACCATAATATCATCGGAACCAGTAAATGAGGAATATATCTGTCCGTCCATTGTAAAAAATCAATCAAATCAGATCAATATTCAATTTTCCGATCCAACATTTCCTGAAATAAGCAGTACCGATTTTCAGTCCCAAGAAGTATCTGCTAAACAGCATACAATAGAGCCAGAACAAGTTTTAAATGAATCACAAATTATTATATCAAGTGATGATACACTTATTACTACTGAAATAAATCATAAAAGTAACAAAGTTCCAGTAGATAATTATTGTGTAACTTCAGAAAGCATTGTAGAAGTAAAGTCCACGATTACTACTACCTCGACTATTACTACTATGATTACTAATATTAATAATGATAATGATATTAGTAATAATGTAACAGTAGAACAATTATCTCCAAAACAAGGTGACACAAACGAAGTAACCATAGAGTTGACACCGCCTAATTCAGACTTGAACATTGAACATGAAGATGTGCACAAAACCTCAGTCAAACAATCAAAAAAGAAACACAAAAAATCAAAAGAATTAATTGAAACGAATTTAAAAGCTACTGAAAGTCATACAAATGCCACTGATGATAGTGGTGATTCTACTTCTTTACAAGTAACATCAATTCCTCAGAGCACAATGCCAGTAACTGATGTAAATCAAACCGGTGACTTTCCTTTATCGATTGATGTGAAAATCAAAGAAGAAATCTCACATCTAGTTGTATCATCAGTTCCGAGCGATTTAACTAGTCCGCTTTCTGATGGTTGCAATAAAAAGAAATCAAGGAATAGAAAATCGAAGAAAGTGACAGTTCAATCGAATGTTACAGATGATTCTTTCATGTCTACACCTATCATAACACCTTCTACTACTACTACTACTACTACTACTTCTTTGATACCGATTCGTCAAGTACACGGTACTGTACATAGTTGTAGTTCAAAATTTAATGATAATAACGATATTTTCACATCGTTGTCAATTCCATTTTGTAAAACAATTTGTAAAGTTTCTCATACAGAATTACACAATTCAAATAAATCTTTATCAAAAATAAAATCAAAAAAACTTCAATTAAAAAATAAATTAAAGTTAAAAAATAGCAAAACAAACATTTTGAATCAAACAGACAATTTGTTAAATAATGGCCAATCTGTAATCAATGAAACAACAATGGAACAATCATCACAAACGATTGTTACTGCAAAAGAATCACAAGAAAATACTAGAAAACGACGTTTTCCTAAGTCTTTCATAACACAAGTAAGTATAATGTGTTTAAAATGTTATAATGTTGTTACACATGGACGTAAACATGTCAAACTTGATATGCTTGACCTATTACGAGTTTACTTTAATCGGAAAACGAGAATGAGGATCGGGGATCTGGCGACACGATAAGCTACTCTAATCCAAGTGTCCCAAACCCCCATTGAGTAAAAGGTGATGACTTGATATGAAGTAGAACGTGTATTCTACAAGCATCTTGAAAGTACGAGGTCCGAGTCCAGATGGGAATGAGGATCCCGGACTAGGGATCCGGGTCCGGGTCATAAAAACGTTACAGATAATGCCTATCTATAAAGTTAGGCTGGATAGGAAACAACGTTGAAGTACGTGACAATGATAGCTAGGATGACCATAATATTGACCAGCAGGATTCGATCATTAGAATTAGACTTACAAAAACAAATCTCTTAGGATATTTGATAAATATCCTAACAATGATAAGTAGATCTGACAAACATGATTAACGTATTAAAGTTTCTAGGTTAGCCTAACATAAATTCCATTTACAAACAAATACGAACATGAATAGACCCGGCATCTGTTACATTGCGATTCAATGTAAGTAATCTTACACGCTAACATTGAATGAGTTTATTTTTTTTTTCATTGAAACAGCTCACTTATAATCAGTACAAAACTAAACAACCTAAGCCATATAATCTTTTCACTCGGTGCTCAATTAAAGCATATAAGAAAATCATTCTATTAAATTTACAGTAAATTATATTTTTCTCTTCTAGAATGCTTTTCATTTATTGTAATTGACTCGTTTCATTTATATTTTCATTGTTCATAACACATCTAGAAGTATTTGAAATCCAATCTTTTTAGTATCGTCTCTCTCATATTCAACTCATCTATAGTCATCCTAACAGGAAGTCAACGATCATAAAGCGTAATGGCTTAAGTATACTGAGCATTTTTGTTAATGTTTGAGTGTTAAATTCATTAGCATAACTCATTCGAAATCAATTAATGTTCGATAATCGTCTTGGTGTTAAATATATATACGCACCGTTGAGGAGTCCCATACTAGGACGAGATAGCCATCCAATGCCTCCAGATTTCCAGTGATTTTGGTCCAACTAAGAGCAGTTCGTGATTGAAATTATGAAAAAAACACAATTAATCATTAACCTTACATAATTATTGTTGGGGACGTTAGATCCCCAGATCTCGCTTGATAAATGCTTTATTTTGAATTCCACGTTTGCCAGCATGGGCTTATCGGTTGACCTTGAGATTTCATTTCCCAACAGGAAAATCCTTGGCTGTGATTGGCTGCTGTGTATTTTAGTGTGCTATTTTTGTGACTGTCCCAAGGACGTTTATATGATGTATAAATAAACGAGAGTTGTGTGCTTGATTCTATTGTGCTTGCTGGGTGTTTGTAAAATATATTTTCTACGCTTGCTGTTTCGGATCAAGGTAGCCTACCTGGACGCTGGTTCATTACCTCGTTCGCGTTTATCGACTAAGGTGAACTCGTAATAGCTTCAAGCGTACCAAGTGACGAACTTAACAATCACAAAAAGAAAACAGGAATTAAGAACCGTGGACTTCTATGTTAAAACTTACATGACATCCAAAATCAATATATTAGACAATGTTTTATTGAGGTTTTTTTTTGGTGGTGAAAATGTATTCATCTTGTATCAATCATGATCAGTGATAAGTTTTATGGAAATCGATTGAGAATAACACCGCCTAGAGTATCATTTAAAATCATTCATTCTAGTACGGGACTCTTTTGTAGTGAATGAGAACACAGGTGGGGCAACCGAATTGTATTTAACGAAAATTACAGAGTTACTCATATCGTAAATCATTCATTTGCAAAATATCAGTTCATCATATCGAACTAGACTGTTCCTGTTGCAAAACATCAATCCATTGTCACTATTCATGCGTTTCATACAAATTCCATTGTGTTCCCACTCTTCCTTTCTTGATCTTCCCCCATCTTCTGCTGCCAGACATTACGTTGACACTCACGTCATATACTACTTATAAGTAGCTCACACCACACTTTGACGGTTGTGGTCACTCATGATCCCACTAAGGATCCAAATTCATTATCTTGATCTTGGAATTGTTATTCTATTTTTTGAATCAGTTAAATTTGAAAATAATGAACTATTGATATATATGATTCAGTCGGTTGAAAGTTAAACTCTGAAGAGTATTCTTAAATGTGCACTTTTAATGAGTCCCAAATTGTTTAATGCCCTGTGATTTCCAATAGTCATTTTATTTATTGATGTCAACATCTTAACAGAAACCACGTCGAAAATAGAACAATTACTTCACTGAATTGTCGTTACGCCTTATTTCGAATGTGGTTTGTTCATTTATTTTCTTTGAATTTGCAAAATATTTAATTATTGAAATATACAATCAACTGGATGTTTTAATGAGTTTATCATCAGTTCAATTTAAAAATATTTTTCTTTCTTTTAACCACTGGCTAATATCACGTGATAAACACAAAACACCAATCAGGATATGAGTATGCGCTAATGGCCTCTGGTTAACAGTCACATTCCTATTGGCTGGTAAAACTGACTGAATCTTTGATAAGAATTTCGAGTGTTTTTGAATTTTTTTTCGTACACACACATACTCACACACTCATAACTCATTATAACACCAGCATTTTCTATTTTTTTTTCTTCTAGGTAGATCCAAAGTATATTCGTTCTGCTCGTCTCGCTGAAAAACGACGAAAAACTGATTCAACTAAAGAAACGAAAGAGACATCATCCACAACGGATAAGGAAAAGACATCACCTAAACGGAACACTAAACAAATGCTGAACAAATGGCGTGTAAGACCAAGTTTACGCGAAAATGGTGTCATTGTTATTTTGTTAGCTGGACGACATCGTGGTAAACGTGTAGTTAGTTTAGGTAGACAAAAATCAACTGGTCTACTACTTGTCACTGGACCATATCGTTATAATGGTTGTCCATTACGTCGTGTACATCCAGATTATGTGATTGCTACAAAGACAAAAATTGATTTGAGCAATGTGAGTTTGTTGGTTTGTTTGATATTTTAATTTATGAATGATTCTGTTCTTTCAAGTATGATGATATGCCATTGAAATCACGAATCGACCCAAGTTAGATAACCATTTTAGGTTGAAAGGTCATGAACACTCACTGTTGAGGAGTTCGGTGCTAAGATGAAACAGCTTTCGGGTGCTTCTTAGTTCGCAATAGTTCTCTAAGTTTATAAGTACTATAAAATTTAATAACCTCCATGACCCAATGCTAATAATCATCAAATGGTTACTTGTAACTAGCTTCAAGAGCAGATTTCCGGAATTTCGGTAGAGCTGAACTTTTTTGGGTGTTAGGAGGTTACTAATCGAAGACACTCGTAGATATTGATGCCATTATATGAATCAATTGAAGCTATATTTATATACTATTTTATTCCGGATCATCGGTCGATCGTTAGGCTTTCGCATGGTAGACCGAATGCTCTGAGTTTGATCTTTTACGGTTGGGTCGTGGATGCGCACTTTCACTGACGAGCGTCATACTGGAATGAAATAGGTGTCCAATAATTGTAGTCATTCAATAATAACTGTCTAACTTAGATTGTTTCAAGACTACAATAATGGAAACTTTCGTTTAATAGTTTGAGAATAAGCTACTCAATGATGAATTTTGGTGAGCCGTACTTACTTACTTACCTACGCCTGTTACCCCTAATGGAACCATAGGCCACCGACCAGTCAATTATTTTTCTGGTTAACATATTTTAGCAAGTTGGATTTCTACAGGATGCGGTCGCTAACCCCCATACTCAACCTTTCTCTTTTATCCGGACTTAGGACCGGCTATAACTCTAGAAGGGTTCCAGGCAGAGTTAATTTTGTTGAGTCACTTATTCTAACTAAGCTATTTTTGGTGTTTTTTAAATTTTTTTTTATTTTTAATTTCACTATTTTCCAGTTATCACTTCCTAAACGAATTCATACTAAAGAATATTTCACTAGAACTACAACAACATGTAAAAAATTCAATAAAACTCATTATCAAAATCGTTTTGAAGATATTCTTGAAACGGGTGTCCATAATAAACAATCAATTTATACACCGAATGATGAAAAGAAATCCGATCAAATTTATATTGATAATGAAGTGAGAAAAGCAATTAAATTACATACTGATTCAAAAATGTTAATTGCCTATTTGAAATCATTATTCTCAATTGGTAAACATGATAGACCGCATGAAATGTTATTCTAGGAAAAAATTTTTGCCCATAACACCAAACCAATCAATCAATCATGTACACCAACAGACACCAACACACACACACGCACGCACGTAAACAACACATGCCTATATACATACACACATATTTACATCAGAGAAACACAATTCCACATACAAATTATACAATCCATGAACAATACAAACTGACCTGATGAAATTAGAAAAACGAACATTCAAATGCAATGAATCATTTCAATAAATATCTCAAATATTATGCATCTCTTCTTCCAAATCCAGTGAGTGCATTTCTTCATGTGTTGTTGTTCATCTGCTTACATCATAATTCAAGACAGAGAGTGATTGTTCAATGTGCAAAACAACAACGTCAAATTCTTAGGTTGTTTATCTTCATTTTGAATTTATTCCTTGTTGTAAACTTGTGTTTTTGTCTTATTTGTCTTCCTTCATTTGTGTTGATTTCAATGTGCCCAATTTGCTTTGTTTTTCTAAGATAAAATAAAAATTCTATTCTGGATTCAAATATAGTAATTCTTTTGAAATGTCAAATGGGATTCTCCTGGTCTATAAATTGATACTATTAAGTAATACTACTTAGTAATAAATAAGTAACTTAAATGTTTTGTGCAAAATATTACGTATCAGTGTTGGGGATGTTAGATCCCCAAAACTCGCTTGTTAAATGCCTTATTTTGGATTCTACGTTTGCCAGCATGGGCTGATCAGTTGACCTTGAGATTTCAATTCCCACCAGGAAAATCCATGGCTGTGATTGGCTGCTGTGTATTTTAGTGTGCTATTTTTGTGACTGTCCCAAGGACGTTTCTATGATGCATAAATAAACGAGAGTTGTGTGCTTGATGGTATTGTGATTGCTGGGTGTTTGTGGAATATACTTTCTACGCTTACAAAGCCTTCTTACTTAGTTGGGGATTCAAGGTAGCCTACCTGGACGCTGGTAAAAGTCTCGTTCGCGTTTATCGACTAAGGTAAACTCGTAATAGCCTCAAGCATACTTAGTGACGAACCCAATAACCAGATACTTCTTTGAGCTATTATCTGAGCTGGGGTTAAATCACATTCTAAAGTATGCTTGATATGATATGTTTAATAAACTCGAAGTTTTAGTTACTACTTCCTTGGAAGCTTCTCAGAATTCTATACATTTCTCTATTTGAACATATAGTAAAATATAGCAAAGGAAATTGTGAAAACTGTGCTCCGAATGGTAATTTATGTACAGCACACTTGTACGACTTTTCAGTTCGATTTAAGAAACATAATTAATTGTTTTATAAATGTTACCTAAAATTTTAAAAACTAGTTTGATCTTTCGAAGAACGACACATATTGTTTTAGTAAGTTAAGTCACTTCATTTATATATTCAGAATGTACATTTCCATGTGCTCACTAGTAACTAACTCCGTGAGGAAGTGCACGTAAACACGTCATTTTGATAATGCTTGAACTATTACGAGTTTACCTAGTCAGAAAACGAGAGCGAGGATCCAGCGACAAGCCATGCTACGCAAATCCGATTATCCCAACCCCCATATTGAGCAAAAATAAGAAGACTTGATATGAAGTAGAACGTGTATTCTACAAGCATCCAGAAAGTACGAGGTCCGAGTCCAGAAGAGGATGAGGATCTCGGATTAGGGATCCGGGACCGGGTCATGGTCCTGGTCATAAAACGTTACACATAATGCGTATTTATACATTTTGGTCGAATAGGAAACAGCATCGAAGTCTGTGACATTGACAGTTAAGACGACCAATAGCGAGCAACATTTGAAGTGACATTGGTAGTCAGGACAACCAATAAGAAGCAACATTGGAGCACGTGACACTGATATGTAGGACGACCATAAAATTGACCAGTAGGAATTAACCAATAGGGATTGACCAATAGAATCAGACTTTCGAAAATAATTCTCTTAGGATATTGGATGAATATCCTAACAGGAAGTTTCTCCGAGTTCTAGTGAGAAGTTGTGACTAGTGGATTTCAATCCTGTCTGGTGTGAAGCAGTGCTCCCCGAAGACAGTGGGTGAGGTTGCGCAAGTCCATGGATTGATCGAAGTTAGGCATTACCGCGATTGGATGCCGGCTCAGTTGTCAACAGCTTAAACTTTCACGCGCTAGGCCGAAGTTTATGAGTTTGAATCCTGTCAGTAGCAGGAGTTGTGGGTGCGCACTTTCATTAGGAATTCTCATAATAGGACGAAATAGCTGTCCAGTGATTTCAGATTTCCAATGGTGGTCTAATATTAGTCGACTCACGATTTCATATTAAATATTTGTTCAAGTGTTTTATCAGACAGTAATGAGATCAATTTTAATGTTTATCAAATCCATTGTATTTTGAGTTACACTGTAGTCAATGTTTTTTATGAAGGAGACCTTATCAATGAAGTATCTGATGTTTTATAGTTAGTAAAATCAAATTGAACTAAACAGTTAAATGGTCAATATAAGAGATTAGTTAGATATATGAGATCAAGAAAACAAAGGTTATTTCTTTTCATGTTTCTAATATGTTTGGATATTCATCAAATATCCTAAGAGAATTATTTTCGTAAGTCTAATTCTATTGGTAAGTTCCCATTGGTCGTCCTAACTATTATTGTCAAAGACTTCAATGTTGTTTCCTATTCGACCTAAATAAACAGTCTGTAACGTTTTATGGTCCGGATCCCTTGTCCGAGACCCTTATCTTCTTCTGGACTCGGACTTAATATTTTCTGGATGTTTCTAGAATACACTTTTTACTTCATATCAAGACTTCTTCTACTCATTGAGGGTTTGGGACGCTCGGATTACAGTAGCCTAACGTGTCAATGGATCACTTGTCTTAGCTCTTGTTTACCGAGTAAGGTGAACTCGTGAAATTTTAAGCATATCAATCGACGTGGTGAAGTTTTCAATCGTAACATATTGTTTGATAAATTCAGAATGAATAAACTAATAATTGGTTGGAGAAAAAAATCTGACAATGCATGGGAACAGGAATTCTCCTGTTTAGCGATTGAAACTGGTCTATAGATAAACCTGGACTTGAGATTCATACTAATATAGGCCTTTGTCAGTGAGGCATACCTAGAATCTTGAGCGGACTGACTATCCCAACGGGATTCATACTAGTATCACTTAGTTTCACAATTAAAGTCGTTACAAACTGAGCTATTTGTTCTGTGATCGATTTTCTGTAGGATTGAGATTTATTTTTACAATTGACTAATCACAGTGTATTGATGGCATATCGATCAAAAGTAAAGCAATAGACAAACACGATATTGATCACTACACTTGTAGTGAAGGAGAACACAGGTGAGGGCAAACGAATTGTATCTATCGCAAATTACAGAGCTAATTGGTAAAATAGGAAAACCATATCGTAAATCGTTAATTTGCAAAACATCAATTCACTGTCTGACATTTCACTGTTCATGCGTTTCATACAAATTCCATTGTGTTCCCACTCTCCGTTTCTTGATCTTCCCCCATCTTCTGCTGCCAGACATTACGTTTTCACTCGCGTCATATACTACTTATAAGTAGCGCGCACCACACACTCGGTGATTAATCTATTATAGAGACTTTCATATTTATGAAACCTTCATCCGTATTAACCTCAATTTATTAATGTGTTATATATAGGCAATTAAGCTTCCAAACCAGTGAATTCATTCTATGAATAGTATTTTTTTTATGCTGGTTATCATTTTCTTAACGAGTTAGTTTTCTATGGGATGAGGTCGCTAATCCTATGCCAAACTGTCCTCATTTATTCGGGATTAGGATCAGCAGTATCTCCAGAGGGTCCACAGCCGTTGAGTTTATTCTATGAATTTCGGATTTCTATTTTATTATGAAATAACAAAACCTCTATCCTCGTTGAGATATAAAATAATCGGCAGTTTTTTTAGTGGACAGTCAACAGTGACTGAAGCATAGAACAGACATTTTACTGTATTTAACCTGATTTTAATTTTATGACGAATTATTAGATAATAAATAGTAATGTTCGTTTGGGATTATTGTGAAAACACTTTTTCTCTATATTTTTAAAACGAAAATGATGTCACAAAATCTTCACTAAGTTTAGTAAGTAGTTACTGACTTACTTACTCATTAACGCCTGTTACTCCTAATGGAGCACAGGCCACTGACCAGTATTCTTCATCAAGCTCTAACCAAGGCTCTTCTTTCAAGTTCTTCTCGAGTTCTGTTCATTCTTTTCACATCTGCTTCGAATTTTTAGAGTAATGTGTTCTTTGGTCTCCCACTTTTCCTCCGATCTTGATGATTCCAACTGAGTAAAGTTAGAAATATGTGCTACAACATACAGTATCATTTGTCAAATTTTAATAGAAAATGATTGTATTATTTTTATTCACGGTTCAATTTGATGAAGTTTGTGAATTTACGTTTCATCATACCACTGTCATTCAAAATACAACTTTCATTAATTAATGAACACCTAGAAAGAATTCTTCGTACGGAATAATCTTCAAATGGATTATTCTTCTTTCCATTTTTTTTAACTACGTTGTCAAAGGACCTATGTTAACGAAGTTCTTTAAGCAGCTAAGTAAACTATTTGTATCAATTTTAAAGTAATTAGATGGAAAGTGGCCAGCAGTAGAATCCAGCACGCGTGTTTCGTTTTATTTGAACTCATCAGCTTGATGTACCTGTATCTAAAAGCTGATTTTCACCCTGGGACTTGAACTCAACACCATTCTCTTTAAATTCCATCGAGTCATCCACTTAGCTTTTCAGTATAGACTGTCAGTGACTTGTGCAATCGGTATGAGATTGAATTTGATTTAAAGTAACGAGATTGAGTGAATTGGCTTAGGCTACTGATATGTCAACCAAGACTGATAAAACTTTAGTGTAAAATATCAAAAACGGAATGATTGGATTGTTTGTAGCAATGTTTAATATTCTCTCTGTAATATTTAGACTTTCTGTGTTTGGTTGGTTAAATTTGCTCTGGATATGATCTTTTTAAAAATCAGCGCAAAACATGGAAATTATTTTTTTGTAAAGTAATAATGCTACTCTAAAACATATAAGTAGTTAAATTAAAAAACTAAAAGTTTTTAATTAATCGGAAAATAATATTTTGTATACTACCTATAGATGAAACGCTTGTTGCATATTTAACGATGAGAATACTACTTCTTTGTCAAAAATAAGTTTTTTTTTCGTCTAAAAAAGACAAAAGTTTAATTTGTCGGCCAAATGTAAATTTGATAACACAAACCAACACATACGTGAAAGCATAAAATGACTCCATTTTACAAAATGTGACACTTTCTATCTCATTATTGTCTTACGCCAAAACATGTGGGCCATTTGTACATAGTTATTTCTGTCATTTCATCAAACAAATGTGAATTGCGAAAGTTTATTTATATCAGCATCTTACACTATTATAAAACTCAGAGGTAGATTTCATAACTGATACTTTTGTTTCAATTGACGCCCAAAAATGTTTTTCGATCAGTTG